AATGACTGCTGAAATAGTGAAATAACGATCAAAAAATTAATTTTAATTACCTTTTAAGCTGTACCAAACAAGCTTCTAGTCTCTAGGCTGCCAAACATTGGGGGTTTGGCCTAATGTGCCAAAGTAAGTTTGAAAATGAGAAAACCATAAATTTGTAAGAAGACGAGTTCAGATTAATAGGTGGAGGATGAAGTAAGGTTTTGTAATAGTCAAGAATTAGTTTCAATGTCGCGTGTGAATTTTCAAAATGGAATTGTTACCGAAAACTTTTAAGTCAAGAGTCACACCTTTTTATTTGATTAAAAAATAAAAAAATAAAAATCAAGTAAAAGTTTGCTTTTTCAATACCATAAAGGTGATATGACAAATCGACTTGGAAAACATGCTTGATTTTTTTATTATGAAATAAATATTTTTTTTTCACAATAAATTTTGACTTATTTTTTTATCAGTTTGAAAATTTTATAACATCAAGATGAATTTTATTTATTTATTATTATTATTATTTTTTTTTGTCATCCTAACTACAAAGAGAAGGAATTTCCAATCGAAACTTAACAAGTGTCTTGTATTTTCCAGTTTCCACACCTAACAAAATTTCAGGCTGAAATTATCCAAAGATTTTTCTTCCTATTTTCTGTATGCTTTTGGTGGGTTTGCACTTTGCTTAATTGCTCATACAATTCCACGTCGCTTGCGGAAAAATAATTAACATATTACACTTATCCTTCTTATTGATGATCGAATCACTCATTTAAATTTTAGATAGATTAAATTGCTCGCGCGAGCCTTCGGATCCCACAGTTAGCCCAAGTTTATATATATGATTATTATTTTTGTATTTATATGTACCGTCACCTTTTGAGATGATAATATGATCAGTGGAATAAAAACATGTTTTAATTACATGAGTTTTATTTTTAGGCCCAAACTCATGATTTTGTTTTATAATTTTATCATCATTAAATTCATGATCAAAACACAATGTTCGACATGGGTTAAATTATGCCGACTCCGCTCTTGAATATGATTATATATATAAAAAATGCTGATAGTGCTTTAGGTGGTCTTGTCTGGTAGTAATGTTAGAGCTTTATTTTGTTGATTTATGGGTTTCTGGTAATAACCATCATTGTATTTATTTAACAGCCCTTTTTTTTTTTTTTTTTTTTTTTTGGGTGTAGGAACGGTTGTAAAAAAGAATTACAAACAATATCAATTATTTTGATTCCACTCTTTGTTTCCCCTTAATATTGGTTAGTTAGCTAAGCATTGAAGTCCTTTTCTTGACTGTAATTTTATATGACTTTTATGGAGAATTTTTGACAACTATCACAATTCTTTTTGTTCAACCTTTTCGTGTTAGATATTTATTCATTCATTTTTTTTTTTTCTATTTAGGTGGGATAGGGCCAAATTTCACGGGCAAAATAAGGGGAATAAGTCATTTAATTCATAAATAATTTTTTTTACGACCATATTCTACCGTTTGAATTTGGTGGGTAGTTGTTTATTTTTAAGGTCAAAATCAGGTTATAGGGTATTTAAATGCCATAGATTCTAAGTTTTAGCTTTGTCATCTGCATAAATGTCCGATTAAATTAATCTGCAGAGGGCATGAGTGAAGTTTCATTGAAATATCTGGTAGGAAGCATTAATACGGGATTCTTGTTCTGCAGATTCTATTTTCAATGGTAAGTGTTCAAATCAAAGTTTCTACAGAAAATGTTTGTATTTTTTTTTATTTATTCTTTTTGAGGTGATTTAGATTGAATTATCTGGTTGACAAGTATAATCTTGATACTTGAAAGGAAACTACAACAAGAAATCAAGTTTGACCAAATGTCAACCTGATCCTCCCCCAATGCCCCATTTGATCACCTATTGATGCTATAATCCATTATGACTTCCCCCAACATGAAATCAAGTCTTTTCCGTAGTTTCTCTTGCCTATTAGAGCTATTTCTCCCAGGAAATTGGACACTCTTATCTAATTTTGTTTATGAATCAAAATTTTGGTGTTTTACTTATTTGGTGTTTCCTTTTGGTTACTTGTAGGCTAAAGCTTTCTTGATTTGTATGCGAATCAATTGTAATTTTGGTATCTGCTAAGAGGAAGGCGTTATTTGTCGCTGGGTTTTGTGAAAATTAGTCACATTCATGGGGAGCTGTGTTTCAAAACCAAAACAAAAGGTGAAATCAAATGCCAAGTACTTGTACAAGTCTTGCAAATTTCGTCGAAAAATTGCCCCATCAGTTCCAGTTACACCGGTCGAACACCTTACTGATGCAGAAAATTATGCGAGCGATTTTTCTGTCCAAGAATTAGCTTCTTTCGACATTCAAAGTGGCAAAACCATCTGCTGCAGGTCTGAAGTTCAAACTTTCCAACGTACCGAGTTGCAACATAACCATAATGAAGTTGGCATAAATGGTACAGTTTTCTCTTCTTTCTTCTTTTCCCCCCTTTATTCCAAATGTGACCCAAGAATATTCATCTTATAACGATTTAGCAGGAACATGCCAAGAAGAAGAATGGTTCGACTCTGTTAGTATTCTCGATTCTGATACTGATGAAGACTTCGTTAGCGTTGATTGTGGTAATTTCAGATCATTTCTGTTTCGATTTTACATTTCACTGAAATTGTATTTTGATCCTGTCTTTCAACTTTTTCTTCCAGAATTTTTTACATCGTTGAGTACAGCTGGGAGCTCGTTAGATCGTCAAACTACTCAATTTGACAGTAACTCGTTCTTTGTTGACCATGAGTGTATAACGGAGGATAAGCCTAAGAATATTTTGAAGGAAAAGAAACAAAATGGCTTCGGTCAGCTAAATGCAGATACACAAAATACTGATATTTTATACTTTAAAAAAGCTGAGGAAACCTTTACAAAGAGGATTGAAGTCAGTGTACAGCATTATGAAGAAAAAACTGCGAGAAACAATTTTGAATTTTGTTTATCGCGGTTTCATCCTTCAGTCGATGCCTCTGACATAAATCAGCATACGTCGTTCCCAGGCTCAACATCAAACAGAAGGAAGTCAACTGCTACAGTGGTTCCATTAGAGAGGAAACTCTATGATAGAGAAACTCCAACCAAGTACTGTAAGTAGAAAATGTAAAAGATATTTATAGCACACTGTTAAGATTAGCTATCCAAACAAGTAGAGACGTAAGAATACTGATACATTTATTATGACAGGTTCCTCTGAGAGATTCTTATGTCATCCTAGAGCTGGACACCTGATTCCATGCTCCACAGAGAAGCCAACTCAAGGATGCTGGTGCCCTCTTGCACCTTCTGCGTTTAAGCTACGGGGGGAAAATTATTTCAGGCATGTTATCTAGTAATGATCTAATAGAGTTTGCATATTTGCGGCTACTTCGTGGTGAGTGTCTAGATTTGTCTTGCTTCTAACTAGATTATTATTTTTCTCAATGCAGAGATAAAAAGAAATATCCTGCTCCTAATTATTGCCCTTACGTACCAATTGGTACTGATTTATTTGCCTGCCCCCGGAAGATACACCATATCGCACAGCATGTTGAACTTGCTTCTGTAAAGTCACACAATGAAGTGCCTTCCCTACTGATTGTTAACATACAGGTCTGTTCTTAGTTTCCTAACATAGTAGAATCAATATTTTGTTAACAAGACCTGCTGTAGTTCCAAGTAATTTGATGACATTGGATCTTTGAGAAGAACAGGGATGAAATAATGGAATGGAGAAAATGATTCGTGTAGTCGACTCAATTTAATGCTTGTTCTTATGGCAGCTTCCTGCATATCCTGCTTCCATGTTCCTAGGTGATAGTGACGGGGAAGGCGTGAGCCTCGTATTATATTTCAAATTATCTGAGAATTTTGATAGAGATATTTCTCCACAAGTTTTGGACAGCATAAAGGTACTCAAATGTCAAAAGATTACTTGCTTTCACTTCAACCTCTTTTGTTGTTGTGTGGAGTACTATAAAAATCTGTTCATTATTTTTTCGACAATTTGCTTATTTTTGTTTGTATTAGTGCAAGAAAATCTTGATTAACGGCTTCCATTTGTCTATACCTCAGAGATTTGTCATGGACGAGATGGAAACTGTGAAGGGATTTGCTAAAGATTCTACAGTTCCTTACAGAGAAAGACTAAAGTTCTTGGTAAATGCTGTCAATCCTGAGGACCTCCGTTTGAGTTCTGCCGAAAAGAAGCTTCTATCTGCATACAAGGATAAGCCAGTACTTTCCCGTCCGCAACACTTTTTCTACAGGGTACATATTCTAGTAATTCTTGCTCAATTATTTGTTTATAATTTGGAAGAGATTAAAAGCAGTCCCAAACATGTACCAAGTGTGCTTTGGGATATTTAGACTTTTTTGAATAATTAACTTCTGTCTTTTGACATTATCTTTATTTGATTTGGTATTTATCTACTTTTCTTTTGCTGGGACCTAATTACCATGAGAATGAACTTCATGTTTTCAGGGACCTAATTACTTTGAAATTGATCTGGATGTACATCGTTTCAACTACATATGCAGGAAAGGACTCGATGCATTTCGATCACGTTTAAAACATGGGATACTCGATCTCGGGTTGACAATTCAGGTAATTCTTCAAATATTTTCAGTAGAAACCGATATCAAGTGATTGCATTATTGCAAGAAGTTTGGTGCTTCGTCTCCTTGACAGTCGATATACCCTTGTTAATAGTTTAATTGGGTTATAGCTCAAAAAAATGACAGAATATGTCCAGATTGTGAGAACATAACATCGAGAAAATGGTTACTGCAGGCACAGAAGCCCGAGGAACTGCCTGAGAAAGTTCTGTGTTGCGTTCGACTGGACAAAGTAGACTTTGAAAATCATGGCCAGATACGGACGCTTGTAACACTTTGTGATGATTAAGGCTAGAGATTGGTTGACTGGCACATCGAGAAACGACATTTTAAGCTACATGAATCTTTAGGAGTCATTGAAGTGTGAAATTCCTAGCATAACAGGGGTTCATTTGAGTGGGAAAAGAGTGTTCAAGCATAATATTCTTTCTTTGATTTTAAGTATGAAGGTGAAACCTTTTGAATACAAGGAGTAATTAGTTATTTTAATGTACTTTGGATCACTGGCGGAAACAAAATTAAAATGATCAATGTATCAAATATTGAAGGAATTCAACATGAAGCCCCTATTTACACCCCCCCCCCCCATATGTTGATTTTTGTGTTCGAGACACATCAAGAAATCATATGTAAAAAACTTAAAAGAATGAATAAGACATGTCAGTTGATGTGTCAAACACGTCCTATAGTGTAAACGTCACCCTAAGAGAAATATCTTTGTTTCGTATTTAAACCATACTGGAAAAAACGAGATAGTGCACGACTAGGCCCTCTCAGAAAACTAGGATTTAATATTCACAGACCCTTTCAATCAATATTTTTTGGCACAATCACCTTCAATTATTAGTAGTAAACAGTTGAGACATTTTCCCATAGTACCTAGCTGCCCAATGTAATACGAGCCAACTGTCGAGCTGAAACTCGACGCTGGGGCTTGGCTCGAGTAAAATGGTTCGAGTTTTTTTGCAAGCCCAAGCTGAGATTTTGCTTGGCCAAGGAATCAAAACTCAGGCCTTATCGAGCCGAGCCGGGTATGCTTGATTTCCTTTTTTTTTTTTTTTTTTCATATTTATTAAAGGCGGCAGGTTAAATAAGGCATCAGCTTTGCAAAGTTTCATTCTATATATAGGGAAAATTAGTCAAGCCCTAGAAGGAAAGGAGAGAGTAAGCCTGCTGCCTTATTTGCAGCAACCTGCCGTCTTTAAATTGTCTATCTTTCTTTTTTTCTTTTTTCTTTTTTTAAGTCTGTGAGCTTGAGCCGGCGCCATCCGGCACACCAACATGGGGCTCGGCCCAAGCCTTGAGTTGGGCCGGCTCAAGTTTTTTTTGGGCCGAGCCACGGATAGCTCGAGCTGACGAGCCCGATTGCCATCCCTATATAGTCATTATTACGTTTAAATATTTCGAAATAAGTACTTAAAAAATTACAATAAAAGACTCTATGTTCGAAGAACGACTACAGACCGCCCTACTTGAACAACCTTGGAAAAACCCAAAATCCAACCTTATTTATCAAATTCAAGTGTCAACGTCCATGCTTGAAATACAACTAATACAATAATTAAAATATAAAAACAATTACTGAAAGAATGAATGAACATGGGATATTATCATTATTACAAGAACTATTTCGTTTGATGAAATTTTACAAAACAATTCCTATAGAATTCACACCTTTGTGTTTCTTGCGGCAAACATTTGTATTACCTAGTTTCTGTAATTTTCAAGCCGGGTAAATATTACTTAAATCAAATTCTTGGTCGATTGGCCCCAAGTATAGTATAACGTAGATCTGACTAAAACAAATTTCATCTACATCGTGACAGCATTTTCGTGTCAATTGACTCTCAGTAACTTCTCAAGAAAGTTGTGCCACCTGTTCTTTGAATTGGAGAAGTACTATAGGTGGTTGTTCATTGTTCCCACGTGGTCTCGACCAAGGGGGAGACCCACAATGGGTCCCGGTGGATCACGTGATCCACCAAGTTTTGATTTTATTTTTAATTTAATGAAAATTAAATTCAAGAAAGACATCTCAATACATACAAAACAGTAATAGAAAAGGAAAAACGTCCACCTTCCTAAAGTCCCCTTTCCTAATCCTTAATACCTCTTTTAGTCTTGCCTGCGATTGAAGTCATTGGACCTATCATCCTTCCTCCCACCTCCGATAGTTTTTAGACCCTTACTGTTGCGTGCCTACAATCGACTCAGTTGAGACTCGAGAGATTTCGTGAAAGCTGCTATCATTTCTGGCTATTGTCACCACCTACCGTCGTTGCCACTGTGCGATTTTGTGATTTGTGATTAATAAATAAATTGCGAGTTATAAATTTTTTGATTTGTAACTTATTTTCGATTTATGATCGTGAAATAATTTGTGACATGTAAAATTTTTAATTTGTAATCGAAAAATAATTTGTAAAATTGTATAGAATCATGACTTTAATATATTTAATTTATAAAATATATTTTTAATTAATTATTTCATATATAAAATTTAATCAATATCTAATTTTTAAAGTTTTAAACATTGTTTCTTAGTTTTGAAATAAGTAATACTTGATCTCTTAAATATGAAAAGTTTCCTTTCAATAATAATTCATATAAAAAACGAGTAATATAGAACTAATGAAATTGTTATAAAAGTGAAGAAAAGAGAGCAGAACAGAGAGAAGTCAATAGACTTGTGTGTATTTTATTAAGAACCAAAGCTCTATATTTATATGGTAGAATCAGGGATACAACAATAATTATTTCTAGGACTGTAGGGGTATAATTATCATTCACATCTAAATCCTAATAAACTTTCCTTTTACAACACTCTCCCTTGAATGACATATTACAAAATATCTACCTCGTTAAAACCTTGTTTGATAAAAACCCAATGGAAAAAAAATCAAACGAAGGAAAAAAATACAGCTATTTTGGAGTACTAAAAATAAATGATACCTCATTAAAATCTTATTAGGAAAATCCAGTGGGATAAAACTTAAGCGAAGGAAAAAAAGTATAGCTACTCCCCCTGATATTGATCACTGAAAATCTTTGAGTCGACGCATTCCAATCTCTTGATCTAATTTTTTGAATGCAGATGTTGGCAGTGCTTTTATGAATACATCGGTCACTTGTCACTTGAGCGAATTTGTTGGATATCGATATCGACATTGTTTTGAAGCTCATATGTATGAAATAATTTTGGAGAAATATGCTCCGTCCTGTTACTTTTGATATAGCTTCCTCTGACTTGTGCAATATAAGCTGCATTGTCTTCATACAAAATTATTGGACTATCATTTGTTAAAGTTAACCTGCATGATGTTTGGTATGATGGGTCATGTTTCTCAACCATAAACATTCTCGGTTTTATGGATTGCAATAATTTCAGAATGATTTGAAGATATTGCTGTCAAGGATTACTTCACAGATCTCCATGATATAGCCGTTCCTCCACGTGTAAAAACATAACATGTTTGTGATTTAGTTTTATGTGGGTCAGATAGATAACCTGTATCTGCATATTCCACTAACACAGATCCCGACTTTTGAGAATAAAATAATCCCAAATCAATGGTACCCTTTAGGACCTTAGGTAACGAAAAATATATTTAACACAATTCCAATGTTTTTGAGTTGGTGTAGAGCTATATCTTGTAATGAGATTTACAGAAAAAACTATGTTGGGTCAAGTACAATTTGCAAGATAAGTTAATGCTCCAATTGCACTAAGATATGGTACTTCACGATCAAGAACATTTTTTCCATCTTCAAGTGGATGAAATGGATCATTTTTCACATCAAGTGATCAAATATCCATAGGTGATATCAATGGATGTGCATTATCCACATAAAAACGTTTTAAAACTTTTTCTGTATACGTAGATTGATGAATAAATAATCCATATGTGAAATGTTCAATCTGCAATTTGAGACAAAATTTGGTTTTTCCCAAATCCTTCATGTCAAATTCATTTTTCAAATAATCAGCAATTTTGTTGAGCTCTTCAAGAGTTTCAATTAAATTTAAATCATCAACATAAATTGTCACAATTGCAAATCCATTATTTATTTTCTTTATGAAAACACATGGACAGACATTGTCATTATTATAACCTTCCTTTAACAAATATCCGATAAGACAATTATACAACATGCGTTCGGATTGTTTCAATCCATATAATAATCTTTGCAATTTAATTGAGAACATAGTTCTCAGGCATATATCGTTTGTTCCCGGCACTTTAAGTCCTTTAGGGACTTTCATATATATATATCACTATCGAGTGAACCATACAAATATGCTGTTACTACATCCATGAGAAGTATATCAAGCTTTTGCGACACAGTCAAACTAATTAAAAATCTCAAAGTGATGGTGCCCATTATAGGAAAATATATATCCTCGTAATCAATTTCTGATATTTGTGAGAAACCTTGAGCTACTAGTCGGGCTTTGTACCTTATAATTTCATTATTTTCATTCATCTTTCGTGCAAAAATCAATTTGTATCCAACAGGGATTACATTTTCAAGTGTTCCAACTAAAGGTCCAAACACTTTTCGTTTTTTCAAATAATTCAATTCCGTCTATATGGCTTCTTTCCATTTTGGCCAATCATTTCTATTTTGATAGTTTTTAACCGACTATGATTCAGGATACTCATTTTGCATAATATCAAGAGTTATATTAAAGGCGAAAATATTGTCTATAATAATATTATTTCGTTCCCATAATTTATGAGATAACATATAATTTATTGAAATCTCATTATTTTCGGACACTTATGGCTCTTCAAGAACCATTTTTTAATATTTGATCGATCAATATTTTCTAATGTGATTTCTTCCGAAATTTTTGGTTTGTTTTTCTCTTGTACTTTTCTTTTTCGAGGTATAGAGTCTTTTGAACCAATTAGTTGACCACACTTCTGGTGTATTTGAGATTTATTTGCTACAGCAGATCGTCCTACAGGGACATCAATTTTTGCTGAAATATTTTCTAGTTGGAATATATGACTTTGTCAATTTTCTTGTGTCAGAAAATATTTCAGGTAATTGATTTGAAACTCTTTGCAAATGAATGATTTTTTCAACCCCTTGCTCACATTGATTGTTGTAGGGATCAAAGTGAGATAGAATTGCTTCATTCCAAATAATTTTACCTTGTTTTTAGGGTATAGTTTTTCCCTTCTAAAGTTGGAAAAGTCATTTCATCAAAATGACAAGATACCTAATAATTAATGGTGAATCAAAACCCACATAAATCTCAAGTCTTCGTTGGAGACCCATTTTAGTACGTTGTGGGGGTGAAATAGGATTTTTGACAACACAACCAAAGACTCGTAGGTGAGAAATATCATGTTCATAACCAAATGCCAATTGTAAAGGTGAATATTGATAATAGACAGTTGGTTTAATACGAACCAATGATGCAGCATGTAATATGACATGACTCCAAACAGAAGCTGAGAGTTTTATTTTCATAAGTAATGGTCTAGCAATAAGTTGTAAACGTTTAATAAATGACTCCGCCTAATCATTTTGTGTATGGACATG